GCTTTTGGAAGAGCCTTAATCCCGGGTGCTGGAATCACCAAGCCTCCTCCCTCATCCCTGTGCTATCCCAGAGAAGATTCAAAAACCTCTAGCGTAAAAATATTTTCATCAAACACAAGCACCGTGAGAAGGAAAAATACAGACCACTATTGTTTATGAATATAAACACAAAAATTTTTGACAAAACACAAGCAAATCAAATCCAGCAACATGAAAAAGTACTGACATCATGACTTAAGACACATTTATCCCAGAAATGCAAGGTTGGTTTAACATCTGAAAATCAAATTAACGTAGTATGCTGTAGACCAATAAAATAAATGACAAAAATTATGTGACTGGATGAGACCCACCTGCATTAGGGAGGATAATATGCTTACTCAAAGTTAACTAACCTAAGTAGTAATCTCAACGAAAAACTACTTTAACAGAAATATCCAGACTAATGCTGGACTCTACATCTGGGTACTGTAGCTGAGTCAAGCTGAGACATAAAACTGGCCACCACTAAAACGGAGGCCTAAATCTTCACGGCCCCTAGATAAGGTACCACACCAAAAGTGAAAGCAACAAAGAAAGAACAGATATTGGACTTTATCAAAATCAAAATCTTCTGTGCATCAAATGACATTATCAAGAAAGTGAAGATCACTCACAGGATGGGGAGAAATTTTGCAAATGAAAGATCTGATGTGCCCTACAGACGGCCTTTTCACCCTCAGGGTGCCTGCACCCAGGCACGATAAATTCCATGCCATGCTGCCTTTACACACACACACACACACACACACACACACACACAGATGACAGTCATGTCCAGAAAACATAACAACATCTAGACTGTATAAAGAGTGCCTTTGAATCCATAATAAAAAGAACAATTTAAAATGGGCAATTCTCCCAATGGGCAATGCACACTTCTCCAATAAAGATACAAAAACAGCCAACAAGCTCATAAAAAGATGCTGGACACGATTAGCCAAGAGGGAAATGCAAACCAAAACCGCAATGTGTCACCACTGCAAACCCAATAACGTGGCCAGAGCCAAAAAGAGAGATGGAAACCAGGGTCGGCAAAGATGTAGAGAAAGGAAAACCTCCGAGCCCTGCTGGTGGGAATGGAAAATGGGGCGGGCGCTGCGGGAAACAAACTGGAAAGTAAATTCTCAGAAGGTTAAACTTACAACTGCCAAGTGATCCAGCAATTCCACTCCTAGATTGAAATGTCACGACGCACTGTATACTTTTGGGTCTTCGTCCACAGCGCCCATTCCCTGGAGGGAGGAAAGCTGCAGAGTCCAGGGAGAATGCTGGACAGATGGGCCTCGTGGGGCGTCCCCCCACCTATCAGCAATCACACCTGTGCAGTGAAGTCGCCACAAAAGCCCAAGAGCACAGGGTTCACACAGTCCGGGGGGAGGGGGCCCTCCTGGTGGGTGATGCACCCGGAGAGGGCCGGAAGCTCTGCACCCCTCGTCCCGGACCTCTCTCCCTGCCCATCTCCTCTCCTGCATCCTTTGAAATATCCTTTACGACAAGCCAGTAAGCTGAGTCCTGTGAGCAGCTTAAACAAATTAAGTGAACCTGAGGGGAGGATTACAGGGGCGCCCATCTAGATCTTGTTGATCAGAAGCATGGGTAAAAACCACCTGGGGCTTGCGGCTGGCATCCAACCTGGGGAGATAGGGTGTCACCTCCAGGTGGACAGGGCCAGAACTGAACCAGGGTAGGGGACCCCCAGCCCTTGTCGGCTGCTGCAACATAGCTTGCGTGGTAGGTGAGGAGAAGTCCCCACATCTGCTGAGGTCACGGAGGTCCTGTGTGGACGGTTGTGGTGTGAACACAGCAGGGAAACGCCAGGCGCTGTGTTTCCTGTCACACAGGCAGGCCCCAAGGTAAGTGAAAACGGGACCACACGCAACACGGACACAAATCCACCGCTGCCTCCTGCACAGTGGCCAAGATGTGGGAATGTACCTGAGCTAGAGGGGAGCTGAGCAGAATGTGTCACGTCCATACAGCAGATTATTAGTCAGCAATTAAAAAGGGACAAAGTGTTGCTGAAGCCCCAACAGATGACTCCTTAAAACATAAAGCCAAGGGCCGCGCATTACATGATGCCACTTAGATGAAATGATTCACTCTGCACAGCAGTCTCCATTAAAACTCAAATAGAACAGGCAAGTCCACAGACTGAAAGTAGATGTGTAGTTGTGGGGGAAGGGAAGGGACTGCCAGTAGACGTGAGGTTTCTTTTGGGGATGATGAAAATGTTCTAAACTTCATGGTACCGATGGCTGCACCACTCTGTGAATGTACTAAAACCCACAGAACTATATGCTTTTTTATTTTGCAGTATTAGGATCAGATCCAGGGTTTTGCACATGCTAGGCAAGCACTCTCCCATTAAGCAGCCCTGTATAAT